AGTTCACATACAGAGGGCAGAACTGATTTTGGAAAGCTATATGTGAGAGAAGGTTACATATCATCTAATACTATAAAACACAGTGTGTATCTGTCTGTCTGTCTCTTAATTCCGTAATGATGTCATAGCAATTTATTACATAATTTAAGTAGTTTGGCTTCCTTTCAATTAGAAGAGAGTAGTCTACAGTTGATCGAAAATTAACAATATATTTACATTATACCCTCATTCAAGGGTGCACTGTCAATAAACAACAATTGTGACATGTGATTTCACTTCTGACAGGAGCAGTTTATTACTAAGCCTAAGAACACTTTCTAGAACATGGATCATTTCAAGGGTTGACTGGGTCAAAAAAGGCAGAGGTATTACAGATTTTTACCTATAACAGCTGCCAGTGGAAGTGTGAATGACAAAGTGAAAGCCCAGATAAATTCTAGTTCCACCATGATGGTAGTACATATGGGCCAGCCCTCTCATAGGTCATCTCTGCTACCATCACCTTACCAAAAGTTTCAAATAAATGAGGGTGGCTTATCTTTTATGGCAGAATTTCCAACAGGCAGGGCCATTTGAACAGTGTAATTATCTGTAGTTGGTGAGGCTACCTTGGAGCAGGTCCAGAGAATGTTGAGGTAGAACTTTCACCAAGACTATTTAAGGTACTAACAGATCATCCCATACTAAATGGCCATTTACTGGACTGAGGTTTGGTATAGCAGAGGAGAGCTGGTTTCATCAGAGGGTAATGCCTTCAATGCAATTCAAGAAAGAAGTGATTCATTTGTGGGTCTTGGTGGCCAACACTGAGAGAGCCTGTTCCAAGGCCAAGTAGGAACTGAAGACCATCAAGATGGTAAAGAGTGATAGTGCTGGAGAATGCTGGTGTGGTTGAGGAATGCTATAAGTTTCATCAATTGTATATATGCAATAAGATTAGTACTATATAACAGTGATAGAGAATTGTATGAAAACCAAGATGTTTAGTATTGAGTCCAAAACAAACTAATACTCATAACAAATTTTAACTTTATAAATTTCATAAATGACAATCGTAATAAAATGTTTAAAAATTATACCATCTGTCTATTTGTCAACCAAGTACAAAAGACAATTTTTGGAGGAAAATGTGTATGGTAATAGCATACAAAAGTGTTGAGGATATTCTGTATAACAGAAATAATCCAAAAAATGTAAATGAATAATGAGAGAACTGTTCCAGAATATCAGTTAGGCAATGTGAAAAGGGGTTAAAATATAAAATATGGCTTGTAAGTGTCCTGTAGGTAACTCCTGAAGATGACGTAGATCACGTCAAAACTGGTACTTGTAGAATGTTGTTTTAAAGTGGAAGCTGTACGGCTTCAATAAAGTTTTAATTGTGTAAATAGCAAATGTTATTTTTAATTATTTATTATAATTTTATTG